TAGTAACTAAAAATATACTTGAAAAAAATAAAGACTTTTGATATAAGGATCCAAACTCCTTCATATACAAATACCAAAATTACTTGATCATGTGATCTAATGTGAGCCAATCAGATAGTTTGCAAGAATAGAAAAAAAATTCTTGTCACCATTGACCGGGAAAGAGAGTCTTTCAGTTTATATTTTTATGGATTAAGATTCTGATTAGAGGATTATTTATTGCGACTTAATTATACCCTCACATCTTCAAGGAAAAAAAAATGTCACCCGCGTGGCGCAGTGTTTAGAGCGTTTGCTCTAGAGTCGCGAAGTAAGAAATTGATCTTTACGTCGCGGGTGCGAATTACACTGAGGGACGTGTAGACCGGTCCTTCGGATGAGACCGTATAAACCGAGGTCCCGTGTCGCAGTAGGTGCTGACACGAAAAAATCCCTCCCTGCTCAATGGCCCTTGGTGGCGGGCATCGGATAAAATTTGCAGCACTCGACCGGCAAGTGGTGGCGTCTCCATATGAGTGAAAAATTCAAGAGGGACGTTAAACAATATACGAGGGTCATTCAATAAGTAATGCAATACACAGTATATCATAATAAATAGTGAGGCATTTGATTTTTTTTTCATGTTTGAAAAGTTCTATTAAAGATCTCCTAAACACAGAAAATCCCACAAATTTTTATATTGTCTTTGCAAAGAAATTCATTTTTAAAGTTAGCATGGTCACTACACTGAGCCGAAAACTGTTTATAAATGATCTCTACCAAGCAGATGAAAATAAGAGCGTATTTGAAAATTGCGCTTTTTACATTAATCGCTGCAAACCTCATATTTAAGATATAATTTTTATAAGTAGAAAAAATTATCTTTCACGCTGTAAACTTTTCAGATGGATTCAATAAAATAGAAGAAAAAAAAAAAGAGAGCTCAAATATAACAGTCAATGTTGTCAATTGAAATTTGTGGGAACATTAAAAATATCAGCTTCATGTGTTACATGAAATTTAAAAATGCTATATTTAAATAAAAAGACATTGTTAATGTACTAAACATTTAATCGTCACAGCATTTTGTAGAATTCTAACAAAGGAACAATATATAATAACATTTCAATCAGATAGGTGCCATATTTTCTCACAAATGCCCAAGAGAGAACATTCGTTAAAGTGCCAACGGTTTATTTAAAAACAAATGTTTAAACAAAATTGAAGAATTGCTAAACTCGCTCAATGTATGACGAAACATAGGTGCACTTAAAATGTGATTAAAGATAAAAAAAAATTTGGAATCAAAGAAAAGGGTGTCATTTATTTATGATAAAGAGAAGTAATGGGTCCAAACGTTTTATTAGCTTTTGTGTATTTAAAGAGGTCCATTAAAACACGTACATACATATAAATGAAGGACTAGCAATTGTAAGTTTTATCCTTAAATTTCACAAAGGAAAGTTGAACAGATTTCCTGCAAAGGAAGTCCAAACTTCGGTGACCAGGGTATTTTACTTGTGCCTGACAATGCAGCTGCATATACACTTAGAAAAAGAAACAGACTTAAAAAAAAGAAAATATAGAGGACTTTTCTATCACCCACATTAGCTTGATCGCAGACATTGTGAGATCTTTTCATACCCAAAACACATGAAAACAATCTAAGGAAGTTTGTACAATATCAGATTAGTCATGGGAAATGATATTCCTCAGTGTCTTTGGGGCACCCCTAAAGATGAGTATGCTGAGGATTTCTGTTCATGGATACAAAGACCCAAGACATGCATAAAGGGTAAGAGGAAATGCTTTGAGGGATTGAAACTAATAAAAATATGTATTACGCACTTTTCTTACTTTTAGATGGCATGTTTCATTATTTATTGAACGACCTCCGTACAATGAATAAATGCATGATATATCACTTTACATGGAAAGGAAAATATAGACTAAGACCACTTTTTTGCCCCTGATTTCAGGTGTCTTTCAGAATTATGCAACAGTTTATAAATAAAAACCTGTTGTCACCCCTGTCATGAAATGAGTATTGGTTCTAAGTTGTGAAATACACAGAGGTCAATTAATTTCTTGTGACATTGCAGTCTTTCAATTCTTATGATGGACTGGCAGACCGGTCAACAGTAAAATTCTTAAACCGATTAAATAAACATTTCTTTTGTTGGACTTTTTATTAGAAATAAGGATATAGAATGATATTAATAAGGGTATAACAACAATTTATCAACTGTGTGTTTCGGGAAAAATGGAACTGAATCGAATGTTAGCCTCTTCGGATGAAAATATTTCCCTCCTCGCCACGTAGGGCAAAGTTTCATCCCTTGGAGACTAACATAATTATCAAAAAAGGCCCTCAACCAGTCACTATTTGTATAATATGCAACTTTACGTTGATGGAATATTTTCATTAAAAATATTGTATGCAATTACACAAAAACTACGATTTTTTGAAACTTAAATAAATACTCTGTTTGCCAAAGATCTGAATGGTTATAAACTGATGAAATGAAATATGTGGTTTTGTGATCATTGAATCCTTACCTTACAAATCATGAAAAGTCGACAGTAAAACAAACAAATTAACCACTATGGTGGAAGCCATGAACTACAGCTGGGTCATAATGATTTGTTTTATTATCAGATATCAAAGATTACTTTAAATGAAATGGTAGAATTCACAAGCCAGTTTAATCGACGTTTGTGCTGGTGTGAACCCTATTTAAAGAATTTTTTTTAAAAAATGCATATAGACTACCATTTTTTTTCTCTTTCACTCAACCCCCCCTTACCTTTTTATTTGTTTCCGACGCCAATGCAGGCCAGCGGTCCTAGAAAGCAGTTTCAGCCGCCCCAGTGGGCAGGGTTAATTAATTTAATAGGCGGGGCTTACTCAGAAATGAATAGGGCGTTAAACAATATACAATCAATCAATCTCTTTTGCATAATACTTGTATTTATTCCAATTAAACAAACCAGTAATATTACTTATTGAAATTTTCTTTTATTGTATATTGCTACTGGGAAGTTTGAGTACATAATTTTACAGCATAAACTACTCTAATCGGTCCAGATATTTTTTAAAAAAAAGTAGTTTAATTTAAGGTATAAAAATCGTATATTTACTTCCTTTTTCAACTACTTAAATTTTATAAAAACAATTTTGGATAACATTTGTATAAATTTGCAGTTCCTGAAGACATAAAGTAAATAAATTCTTACGATCTCTACGTATTAAAAATTTGTAAGAATTCCTTGTTTCTTGCATGACTACAGGGAACATGCATATTCAGTATACACGAGGGGGCAGAGATGTCCCTCTAAACCTTTTTCAAAAACCACTCCCCGAGCAGTCCCATATCTGTACCAGAGCAGTCCCCGAGTAGTCCTAGATCAGTCCCGGGGATTGCATTCTACATGTAGGACTGTTTGGGTGTCAGGCTGGGTCTGGTTGGTCCTGTACACGTACTGTCCTCTACAAAAATTTAAATTTTTCAATTAAAATTTGTATATGACATTAGCACATTTTTAATGATTACACCAACCCGATCGACACTCGGGCCGTGCTAGAATAAGACCCCACTAGAAAACTTGAACGGCTTATTGCTCGCTTGACGAACTTCTCTTGGAGTTCCCTGACGATCCGGCATGCCCAAAGATTCCGTCAGCTAATTTCCTGACGATCCGGCCCAAAGATTCTGTCAGCCACGATTTGCGTTCTTTTCCATCTATGAGTCTTATCAAACAGATTTAAGACAAACTCCGACCGGCGTTTTAACTTTTAATATGGAACTGACAAATTTTGATACAGGTCGGTGTGCTCGGGACGGCTGTCCGATTCCGACTGATTATACAAATCAAATTCAACAGTATATATAACAATTATGATGTGACATGTGTAAAAATGACATTTGGAGATAAATAGATAAAAAGTTTTGACACTTGAGTAAAACCTCAAAATAATAGAGGGCCGGATTATCGCCCTTTTGATGTTAATTTACCTAAAGATAACTTAGCAATATCAAACGAGGACAGGTGTTAAAAACCAATTAACTTCGATTACCTGAAACCGAAAGTGTTATAATTCAATAAAGATTAAGAGTCGTAAATTCAATACAGAAAATAATTTGAAAAGCTCAAAAATTTAAGAAGAGTTGTTTTGAAAACATGAAACAGAAGCTAAATTTTAGAAACTAGAAAAATATTTTAAAACAATAAAATTTCATCGTGATAGTACTCTTCTTTAAGAAAATAGTATTATATCTTATAAAAACTAGTCAATTTTTTGCATTGCTATTACCACTTTTTCTATTTTAGTAAAAATATATCCCACATATTTATTCCAATATGCGTAAATCATGAGATGCAATGTGGATATAGTTAGAAGTAATCAAGCTCAAAAATTAATGAAAACAACAAAAATTGGAGCAGAACAAACACAGATCACATCAAAGGTGCAAATGAAAAAATAAAAGATTGAAAATGAAGAATGATTAAAGACATGGGAATTTCAATGTATTTTCCGACTTAAAGTTGGTTGCCGTTTATAAAAGTGCGAAGTATATGTATACAAATATTTTTTTTTGCATTTTGACATGCAAATTTTGTCATTGTTGGGATTTTTGATCACCTGCGTAACTGATTTTCTGCCATATAGGTTCTATATAAGGTCCGACCAGATATAGCAATACTTGTCAACAATCCATAGTATCAACAGTAAGTAAATTATATTTTATCATTCTCCTTACTTATATTTTAACTTTTTGATGGATAGAAAATATTTAAATTGGTTTCAGTTGTGAGGCATAATGACATTTTTTTGATTGAATATTTTTAACTGTTTAGGAAAATGATCATTTTTTTTCAAAACATTTTGTTTATCTCATAATCCTATAATGAAGTAATATCTAAATAGAAAGAGAAAATATTATAATGATGGATATTATTTAAAAGGTAGATGCACTTCAGAATACATTTACTTAATATATTATTCATCTTTTTTTTTTTATTTACAGATGAAATCTTTTTTTGCCGTTTTGCTGACTGTGTTCATGCTCGGTAGGTTCATAGGGAATTAATTTAATTAAGTTTTGTAATTAATGAAATTAAGATACACTGTATCCTCTGAATTTATCGAGATGAGTTAAGGAATTAACTGCAAAAACGGTAGAGGAAAAATACAGTGTTATAGTTTTGTTGAAGGCAACACTAGTTAAATGACAAATATTAATTTTATCCGAATACGATAAGTGTTGCAACCAAATTTATCGTTGAACCAGGTTTGTAGCACAATATCATGTTAACCATAGAGCGTTTTATCTACTTAATACCATACATGTAAAATCACTTTTTAAAGAAGGGTGATAAATACCGTGTTATAATATTTTATGCTTTAAAGATATCCACAATTCAATGCTATCTACGCAATTTTGCAAATATTTCAAAGTACAGTATTATGTCCATTTACATAAAAAATTCTTTGAATCTTGCTTTTGAACAATAATGATCCAAGGCCGCTACTGTCGTCAACTTAAAAGATACCCAACTTCTATTCGGGAAAATTAAATTTTTGAAGGTTATATGAGGATTTGTAAATGGTATGGAAATGAGCGGAAACCCCATGCATGAATGAGATTTTGAGTATCTATATCAAATATATTTGTGGCAGCTTGTGCAGGACTGTTTTTGACTTTAACAGTAACACCTTTACATTTGTTCCAGCTTGTTCTTTATATAATGTCAACATTATGAAATACATGTAGTCATCTATAATAAATGATATTTCGTTTCCTTGCAGACACAACCTTTGGGGTTAGAAGATTTCGTGTCTTTGATTACAACAGATACGGCAGTCGCGTGCGAACATGGGAGCAAGCCCGTGCTGCATGCCGCAAACTCGGTCGAGGATGGGATCTGGTGAAAATCGATGATAGGGCAGAGGATAACGCTATCAAAACAATTTTGATGCAGGAGTGCAGTAAGAACCTTATATTTCATTTGATTTTACAATAGATTATGTTCTCATATTACTGCGCATTACTTGAAAGAACCATATTTAGAACCTTTATTATATACCCATCAATTTCCTTGTTTTTGTTACTGTTAATTTTACAGAATTTGATCCGATTTTCCGGATCACCACACTGTAGTTTTCTGAATCCATATCACCCCTCTCTGAAACTGATGACGTTACACAAAAACATGACGTTATTTTTCTTGCGCGTTAAAAAGTCCCTTGTTATTATGCTTTGTTTTATGGATAAATATTATACAATTGATCTCTTAAGTTTTATTCTGCTATATTAAGCTAGTTATTAGGGGGTATATAATAAAATTATCATTATAACAGTAACTTGATCCGAAGAGCCGTATCACGTCGAGTTGACAGGCGCGGATCATCAGATCAAACGCGACGCTTCGCGTCTCGTTATATCTGATGATCAGCGCCTGTCAACTCGACGTGATACGACCATTTGGATCAAGTTCCTGTTATAATAATATATATTTATTATATACCTAAAGTGTATCACTCAATTTCACTGTTGATTTTACACTATCACGTGACGTCGTGATCCGACTTTTCGGATCACCACACTGTGGTTTTCTGAATCCATATCACCACTCTTTGAAACTAATGACATAGTACGTAATAACATGCGTTATTTTTCTTGCGCGTTAAAAAGTCCCTTGTAATTATGCTTTGTTTTATGGACAAATATTATACGAACGATCTCTAAAGTTTTGTTTTACTATATTTTGTTAGTTAAGAGGGGACATATAATGAATTTATCATTATAACAGTAACTTGATCCGAAGAGCCGCATCAAGTCTCGTTGACAGGCGCGGATCATCAGATCAAACTCGACGCTTCGTGTCTCGTTAGATCAAATGATCTGCGCCTGTCATCTCGATATGATACGACCCTTCGGATCAAGTTACTCTTAATAAATATATATTTATTTTTTAAAACTGACCAGAAATTATTCATCGGTCACTCCGTAAAACCCCTGTCACACCGGGGCTGCATCCTCAAGGCGAATACACGAGGTTCTTAAAAAAATAAAAACGCCGAGGTGAGCACAGTAGAGTGTCCTACAGCGCCGTGACAACGTAGCGAAAAACATGTATCCACTAAACGCCGTAGGGTCGCGTAGGGCTTAAAGAACGCAAGAGGAAGGTGCGCACTTCGTTTGAGCATGCACAAAGTACGCACCGTGTGATCGCCGTCTGGTAAGAACGCAGTAGAAACGTAAGTATGATCGCCGAAGCAGCGCGGTGAGATCTGCAACAATGCAGTGTGAGCTCTGTACGAACGCCTTGAAGACGAAAATGATCACATCATGTACGCAGTGATAGTAGACCGCACTTCCACGGCACGGATAGTCCTTGGAGATGTCACTGCTCTTCTATCGCGCTTTTACGCCGCTTCTGATGAGATTTATCGTGTTGCTATTATCATATCGTATTATCATTATATAAATGGTGCCTGTTTTTGAGGGTAACAGTTGAAGTTGACACCCTAAGGAAAACCATTGTCAACCGACGCGTCAGCGGCACCATTTATTTTATTATACTGAATGTCTTCTTGATTTACTATTATCAGCAATACAAATCGTCGATCGCATTTTCGTTCACGTTTAGAAAGCTTTCAAACTCCCCGCTACTTCGGAAAAGATTTACTGACCTCTTTATTGTCTATTTGATACTCTACGAGTCCTTTAACATCTAAAGTTTCGTTATTTCTGCACTTGCAAGCATCTTTCGTCTGTCATTTGTTGTTTTCGAGTAAACTACATCGGACGCAAGCTTTTATTCCGGTTCTTTCAAACGCGCAACTGACGTTTTGAGAATTCTACGGTGAACCGTACGCGCATAATTTCCACGAAAGTGGCAATACCGTTGTGTTACCCGTTGTCACGTGTTGTTAACCGCGTCTAAACCAATCAGGTTTTAGTATTTAACATGAAAGTATAATAAATGGTATTATCGACTGCGATTACACAGCGACAGGGTTGTCACTGCAGTCACTGCGCTCTTCTGGCGTTTCTACAGCGTCTGTTGGCGATCACAATGCGCTTTTACTGCGTTGATAAAGCATAGTCAGCCAGTTAAAAAAAAAACAACACACAAACAAACAAGAGGAATGGCCTCATAATTGCACTGAACAAGAGCATGGTAGTAGAATTGGGAGGAAGTAAAATTTACACCAGAACTTGTTCTGTTGTTTCGATGGAATTGCGGTCGAATTACTCAAATTTTATAACACCTAGTAGTGTGTGTGTTTTTTTCGTTCATATTAAAATCAAAGAGATAAAAATGCATATGAATTGATAAAATTAAAAAATATATGTCAACAATTTAGTACTAAATAGATCATTTTAATAAAAGAATATTTCTGGACACAAAAAGAAGTTTTTTCATTTTGTAATCTTTAATAAAAATGTCACATACCTTCTGATTATTTATCCATGGGTGAAGAACGCATTGTAAACGTATTGAGAACGCAGCCGGTGCAGTGAGAACGCCGTGAACTCTTAACAAGCCATGAAAACTCCGCGTAAGCGCAGTCAATTGCCAAGAGACCTCGGTGGAAGCGCAATAGCATACCGCGAGAATGCCATAGAAACGCGTCGGTCGCCGTAGGCAAGCCATGAAATCTTCACATTGTAGACATTTTAAAAGAAAGCTGTGCAATTTCCCCTGTAATTCCAGGGCGATTGTACAAAATTAAAAACGCATTCATGACTCCGTGTAGACACAGCTTGGTGTGACAAGACCTTCATTGATCATGTTTTTAGGGTGGCGATCTCGGTTTACTGCAAACATTCCATTGAAAAAAGCCTTTACCTCTAAAGCGTTTCAAAGACCCTCTTTAAGGCGGAACCAGGCAAATCGCCGGTGCACAATCTACACCAAACCGAAAGAAATAGAAGTTTTTCTTTATATACGTCCAAGTCACTGAATGTGGAGAACCCTTGATTTTTCAATATTTGAATTCTAGTGCTACGGTATCACATACAAAGAAAATTACTATTTGATTCGGGGTAGGTTGATATTGAAAAGAAATATTCTGTTGGGTTTTGATTGCAAATCTTTAATAATTAACCTTTTTTGGCATGGGTAAAGAAAAATTTATAACCAGAAATTGTTAATTTTTTAAAATTAATCAATTTATCTAACTTTATCAAATTATATCTGTAATTTAGCTCCAGATGAACATGATGGTTGGTTTATTGGTGGAAAATCTATTAATGGCAGATGGAGATGGGCAGATTACTCTAGGATGACATATTCAAACTTTCCTCTAACCTATATAAGTTCTGTGGGTTTGACAGGTCGTGGTCGTCCACAGTCGACCGTGGTTAGATACGCTGTCATTTTCAAAAGAAATTTTCAGTGGGGATCCGTAAATGCCCGTCAACGATCGGGAATGGGATACATTTGTGAAATTCAATGTAGTGACCATTTCTTCCCTGTGCCTTAAGCTGACACTATTGGGAAAGCAGTTGGAAGATTTGAGGCACCCAATTTTTCATATATACCTGTAAAAATGAAAATAAATATATTTAATAATTTATATCTTCATCATTTTTAGATCACCCTTTGTTGAGAGATTTTCTAATCAAAATCTGTCCGTTGTCTGTTATTGTCGTCGATGAAACAAACCTTTCACATTTTCATCTTCTTCTCAAGAGCCACTGGGCCAATATCAATCTATCTTGCCATAAAGTACCTTTGGGTGAAGAGGATTCAAGTTTGTTCAAATGAAAGACCACGCTCTCTTCCAGAGGGAGATAACTGAATTAGCGAAAAAAATTAATGGCATCTTTTAAAAATCTTCTTCTCTAGAACCACTAGGCCAGGAAAAAAGGAAACTCACTATATATATATATATATATATATATATATATATATATATATATATATATATATATATATATATATATATATATATATATATATATATATGGGGTACTGATACATGTATATGGGGCTATGAAGATCTTGATATTATTGAACGTATGTATCTTAAGTTTTTAAAGTATGTATTTTATTTTATTTGAAAAGTTCTACGCCATCGTACATGGTCTATTGTGAAACAGGTCACTTTCCTTTGTATATCTCGGTGTATTGTAGAATGATTTCTTATTGGGCAAAGCTTAATTTTTTCCGGCCCGCCAAATTAAATTGTAAATGTTTTATATAAGTATATGTTTAACAGTATTGTGATGGAAACTTAACAAATCCATGGTTAGACTGTATACAGAAAACATGTAATATGTGTGGTTTATCAAATATACGGTACGAACAGGCTGTCAATATGAATTGTAAATGGCCACTGTGAAACAAATATTACAAGATCAATCTATTCAAAAGTGGCCCTGTGACGTAAATAACTCTTCAACAGGACAGATCTACAAAATATTTAAACAAAACTTTTGATTAGAACATTATATTGATAAGATAGAAAAAAATATTTATAAAATTTCGTACTGCAAATCATCATTTACCAGTAGAGACTGGAAGATGACATGGTATACCACTGTGTGATAGAATATATAAACTTTGCAACAGTACTCAAACTGCTGATGAATTTAACTGAATGTAAGGAATGTTAAACCTTACCTAACATGAGAAAAAATTACCTTGGTTATTTTTATTCACACAGACCAAATGTAAATATGTAAATAGTGTTTGGTTGTTTAATAGTTGTGCTTGTTTTTTTGTTTTTTGGTTTTGTTTTTTGGTTCTCTTTTTCCTTTGTTCTTATGACTTTTTAACTTTTTCTTTGTCCTGTCAGGAAGGGACAGGGCGTCCCGAAAATTTGACGATTTTTTTTGTTCCTGTCATTAGTCATTTTAAGTGCTTGAACCTGAAAATTTCCCTGTGTTACAACAGGACAGAATATTTTGTCCTTAGATATGAAGCAATTTATAATTTCGAATATATTTTAACTTTGTATATTGTCATAGAACTTTGGTCGAAACTATCTGTTCGGTCAAACATACCGTTGAAATTTGAAGTGTACGAGGGTTGTTAGAAAAGTTCGCGGACACATTGAATTACAGAAAATCTATTGTTTACTGTGAAGTATGACCTATGACTGAATGAATTCCTACATTTTGTTTATTGGTATGTAAAAAATCAGGTCAATATAATAAAATCTTAAAATTTTACAACTATTTTTACTATGGGGTTATGGGATTCACGGAGCAATCACTTGACGTAAGGCGACGTGACAACCAGATTTCAACCCTTTAAGCTTTGTCTCAGTTCTATGAATCTTTAATTTCTTTATATTTTTCTCATATTTTTTCTACTTTAAAATTGAATACCTATATCAAGACATGTTACTTTTCAACTATAATGTCTTTTTATCTGTTTCGGATATTATTGAGATCTTAAAAAATAAAAAGGCTGTGCATTCAATCGATCAGGTATGGAAACTATGCAAAACATAGGCGAAACGCAACGTCCATGCGATAGAGGGGTATTGAAGTATCGATGTAGTTAATCATGTAAAATGTTTCTCCTTCCATTCTTATGAAACTTGTTCTTTGTATGTGTAGGATATTCCCGGCAGCATCTTAAACATTTTAGTCTCTTTTTAGACATTTTCCTGTCTGCACACATAATTTTTACGTAGTGCACTGCTCCATGACGCTCAATGACGTTCCGATTTTTGGCTGTGTTCTTACGCGTTGATCATTTATAAACAGCTATAAAACAGCCATATACCCTCCAATTTAGTTCAAAATTTTCCCCAGTGACGTTTCCTGCATACTTTAGCGGCAGGTAAAATATCATAATTCTCTTGGCACTACAATTGTGCAATTTTTAATTTTAATAAAGAGTCTTTGTGATGTAAACGTGCCACAATGCAGCATGCTCCGTGAAGCAAGATTTATCAAAATAAAAATGCCGTATATTTTTCAATAATCACCGGAGAGCACCAAATTTTTGTATATTTATTGGAAAATATGTCAAGATTATATCTGGAAAGTTTGACCGGTTTCATGGAAATAGCGCGATCACAATGGAACTTGTCCGCGAACTTTTCTAACACCCCTCGTATATTGTATTTTATATTCTGGCGAATAATGCATGGTTAATAAACAATGACAAAGTGGAACATGACTTAAGTACAAAGATTATTTCATAAAAAGACTACTAACTTATAAATGCTTGATTTTCTCCTTTAGATAATCCACAAACAGTTATGAACAGGTATTGTACATGGGAATAGAACCGAGAGACCCCTCCCCTCCCCGAAAAAAAAATATATAACCGACGTTTAAAATACTGTATAAAAACGCAGCTACTTTATGCTTGTGCTCCCTCAATTAAAATAGTCTTTTTTATGGCTAGCCAAAGATTTCTTTTTCTTCTTTTTTGACAGATTCCTCAAACTGAGAATATTTGGTTGCTCCCCCCCCCATACACACATACACATCTAAAACTGCTTTCTTTGAGCCCGTTTAGTGACCTAAATAAAATAAGGTAGGCACCAGCTGGCGCCTTATAAAATAAAGGTAGTCGAAAGGCAATTTTTTAAAGGCGCATACTTTAAAAAGTATAATAATCATTACTGGAGTATGTGTTTACTAATCAGAATAAAAAAGAAAATGGTGACTAAGAAAAAACACGGCTATTTCTAATATTTATAATTACCTCCTCTTCAAAAATGTTCTTTTCGCTTCTTCAAAAAAATTTTTTTTAGAAGTGTATAACATGTAATATGAAAAGAGGCTTAAGGTAATGTGAATAAACCTCACCATCTAATGCATCACCCAGAAGAGATATTGTCTACCATAATATGTCTACCATATGAATGCTGTTTTATTTCTATGAAGTTATATTTTTAATATTAAAAGAACACATTTTTTATACAAGACACTTTATATATAAAGCATGCCCCCTTTAATGAAGTTGTTGGCACAGATTTATAATGCACGTGAGTTTAGATTTTGAAAGCTGTCAAAAGTAACTTCCCCCTAAATGAACACAGCGCACACTACGAGTGGTAAATATACGTTTCCTTACTGACGTTCACAATCCGTATTTTCCTCTATTTGTCCGCTTTTTAAAAGCATTGAAAGTGATATTAAGAAGTTTGAAATGAGAAAGTTAGGGCGAGTTACTTTCGTTCATAAAATGTCGGTGTTTCTCTATTGAGGGAAAAGTCTGCAGTCTGCTGTAAATTGTCAGGTGTCTAAGATTCCGATAATGTTCATATGCAGACCTATTGTTGTTTCCATATAAAGTAAAAAGTGTTAAAAAATTATTATACGTAAACAGAGGAAAATACTTGTTGTGGCCTTCAAATCGACATTCAGATATATCTGTATATCGACGACGTATTTTTAATTAGCAATGCTTATTTCCACTCTTGTGCATATATGGTATATCCGTTCATTCGATATGCAAGAGCATGCTCTACGTATGTACAATTTCTAAAATGGGTAAATTATTGACAAACAAGTTGATGAAAAAGAAAATCGACAGTCTTGTTTAAAGTCATTATTTTGTACGTTTTATGGTCGATATAATGACCTTGTTAGCAAATACAATTTATCAGTGAGTCAAATGCTGACTGACGTTTTTCATACTAATTATGAATCCATTATTTACACACTAAATTGTCGACGGAATATTCCGTTATTTCCCGATCAAGGAGCACAAGGTATGACCGGTCGGCAGTGGATGCTCACTCCTTTATGGCATCTGATTCCACTTCTGATTTCTCGGAGATGCATGTTTGCTCTGCTCCTAAATTAGTATTTTTAATGTACTTTTAAGCTTCAATGCTGTAAATTATCTCTATATAGATTAGTATTTCATTATTTTTATCTCAATATATTTCATATCATAAGTTATAGAGAGAAAAATTTTTAAAGCTGTTTTTCAGGCATGGCATATCAGGAGGACCTAAATTACCGACAGTGTTTTATTTCTCTATAGCACGATGTATATAACAATAAAATACAAGCTTTCAAGCCAATAACTAAAAATGTTTTGTTTGATGTACTCCGACCGACCCGTCAAAACCACCCAATTTTTTCCAGCTCTTTGAATTTTCAAATTTAAAAAATTAAGTTCAAAGAAATGGACATTATTTAATTGTAAAGCTCAAATATATTTTCTCTAGGATGTTTACAATTGAAATTTACATAGCTAAAAATATTGAATCTGTTTTGCTTTCCGATGTGTAATGCAAACATCAATAAATTGCTCACTCTGCGATTTTTAAGACAATTGATCAAAAGTGATCGTAAGGAGTAAATCCTTTCGTCGCAAATTCGAATCCCACTGTTGGACGTGGAGACCGGTCCTTCAGATGAGACCATAAAAAACTAAGGTCCCGTGTCGCAGTAGGTGTTGGCACGAAAAAGACCCCTCTCTGCTCAATGGCCCTGAATTCCAAGTAAATGTCAAATTTTGTAGCTCTCCACCAGCAGGTGTTGGCTCTCTATATGAGTGTAAAAAATGCTCGAGTGGGACGTTAAACAACAAACAATCAATCAATCGTCACCTGCATACGTAGTTCATATATCTCAGTTGAAGCGATAAGC